ATTCAGTTTTGTAGAACTAAGATTCACTTTGTTGGGGTTTCTTTCATCACTCCTTTCTGTTATATATATAATATATATTATAACTTTCTATTTTCCCTACTAACAAGTACTCCAAGATTTAGATATATTTTTAGATCTGGTGTTGTAATAGGTAAAATCTTGATTTTTATGACTATAAAAGTAAGTTTTGAGAAACAATTTGAGAGCGTAAGGACTATGAGGTCATATCTTCTGTATTTTTATTATACCAATCCTCCATTGTTGTTAATCTCTGTCTGTCTCTTTCTCTTTTCTTCTTTCTCTTACTTTCCTTTCTCATCTTTGCCTCTTTTCTCTCTCATAAATTATCATATTTGATGCAACCACATGTGATGGTTGTGAGAGTAAATAAGGTGAAAAATATATAGATTTTTGAATGTCTATAAATTGAACTTATGAGTGACAGAAATAATGGAAAGTACAAGTAGGACAATATGGTTTTTTTTATTGGTAAATTTTAAATTTTACTAATTTTGTAGCTATGGAAAAATATCAACTATCTTTGTAATCAAAATATCAAGTATCTTTGAGCTTAGATTAGTTAGAAGTTATAGCTAAAATAAAAAAAAAAAGTTTTTCAACTCCAAACAATACAAGATTTCTATTTTGATTGGAGTTTTAAGATTTCATATAGTCAATCAAACAAAGAGATATTTAAGAAAAATAAGCTCATGGAGTCTCTTTTTTTCCCCTTCAAAATACTCTTTTAAAACTAAAAATAATCAATACACATTTCGAGTTGCATTACTCAAACTGGCAATCTCTAATTCCACTCATCGTTTGAATGTTTGTTAAAATCCACGTGATTTTCACTACTCTCAAATATAAAACATGTCAAAATTGAATGGTATTAACAAAAGTCTTGTTTTCCTAATAGCTTACAGTTGTCAAACTCATGGTCTGAATCATATAATGCTCATGTCCAAAGAAAGAAAAGCTAACAATGACTTCAAAGCTAGACGTACGTTTCATATATTCTTGTTTTCAAGATTTTTTACCTTTATTTAGAGGTTGGTATTCAGCGCAATATTAAGTTTGGTCTCTGTAAGATTTGTTGTCTTTGTTAGAGAATCTTTGATCACGTCATCACACAGATATTATTTATATTTATTTATCACACAATTTTTATTAGTAGTATAAAGTTTTGATAGTTTCAGTTCTTGACTTCTGACAAGAAGGTTTATGTCATCATGAATTACTTATAAATCTGAAAATCCCATGTTACTATTTTTGACCATTTAATACTAGATTTCACATTTGGTCAATACCTAATATAATTATTCCTCCCCAAGAAAGAAAAATCAGAATTCAATTTCATATTATGTGTATATGTACACAAAGAGACAAATAATAAAGGATATACTAATAGTGTTTCATTCGATCTAGTGATCTTTGAATCAGTAGATTTGGTATAGAAGTAGAGCGCTGGAGGTGCTTCAACATCTTTGGTATTGTAGATACATTATGCAATTTCTTCTTTGTTTAAAATATATTTTTTTGTCTAAGAGGTCAAATTTAGGGTTTTCTATTGAAATTTTTTTTTTCTGTGATGTCTTCTGTGATCCTATAATGGACGGCTATGGATCATCCATTAAGGTTCAGGCATCATAGTTTCTTTATAATATGCCATCGTACTTAATATGTATATGTATGTAGTAATGTATCCGTTTACTTACAGAAGACTCAGAAAACGATAAATGGGTCGAAAGGTAATTGAATGATACTCCAAATAAGGAAAGTATGGAACGTTGTGATGTTACTCGGACAAGTCTTTAGTTACATCACAGTTAAATTAATCTGATGGTTAAGACCTAAAAACTATCAAATGTCTACTGGATTTACCCATGTGTAATGGGTTCTCGACACGTGTCCAAAACCCTAGACATGTTCACACCAATCATGTCACTCTAATCTGGCCAGCATGGCAGTTGCAGCCAATCACTAGGTCGATAAATTTAAGGTTTCAGTAAATGATTCTTTATTTGTTACAAATTTGAGGAATATTTAATCAACGATAATTTATTTCTTGTATCTACTTTTTTTTCTTCACATCATGTGTCACGTTATGTTTCATTTTGTTCTGACTCAAAAGAACCGATGTTTGCTTTTAAGGTTTCGTATTAAAATCACTTAACTGAGCAAGTGGATGATTTGACCCTTTGTTATTTTTCTTATTGTTTCGAAATGCTGATTTAAGTTTAAATTGTATAGCTTATACTTCTAATCAACTTATTAATTCCATTTCAAATATTGTTGCAGTGTAAAAGGGACAATTGAGAGGTACAAGAAAGCAATATCCGATAATTCAAACACCGGATCGGTGGCTGAAATTAATGCACAGGTAACTTAACATTACAAGTACAATTTTACGTTTTTTTTTTCTTCCAAAACGTGTGTGCTAATATAACACTTCCATCTTTACTCTTTTCAAGTATTATCAACAAGAATCTGCCAAGTTGCGTCAACAAATTATCAGCATACAAAACTCAAACAGGTGAGTATTTTAATGACTTGAAATGTTTTTTGATTAATTAATTAGTTACGTTTTTTGAACAAAGGCTTATTCAATTAGTTAATTAGTTACGTTGGTATTAATTTTCTGATATATCAATACCTTTTTTGTAAAAATTAATCAGGCAATTGATGGGTGAGACAATTGGGTCTATGTCTCCTAAAGAACTTAGGAACTTGGAAGGAAGATTAGACAGAAGTGTTAATCGAATCCGGTCCAAGAAGGTAATAATCGTATTTGATTAATGCTTCAAAAACTTCAAATTATTTCCCAGGAAGTTAATATATTCATTTTTGCCAAATTTATAAATTGTTCTTTCTGATATTTTTTTTTTACAGAATGAACTCTTATTCGCCGAAATTGACTACATGCAGAAGAGAGTAAGACACCATATTATATCTACTTTTTTTTTTACATTGTCAAATTGTATTTATGATAATCTGGCTCATTTGTAAAGTCTCTGCAGGAAGTGGATTTGCACAACGATAACCAGCTTCTTCGTGCTAAGGTAATGTGTACATTGGTCTGTTTCTGTATAATTTTATTATAACATCAAAAAGGTTATAATAATGATAAAATACTTTTGCTCTATATATGTAACTCCAATGTTGGAGACTAAACACTTTCAGTTTAATAAATGTTATTTGACCAAAAAATGATTAAATACTAAACAAATACCTGTGCGCAAATGTGTATATATATAGATAGCTGAGAATGAGAGGAACAATCCAGGTATGATCAGTCTGATGCCAGGAGGATCATCTAACTACGAGCAGATTATGCCACCGCCTCAAACGCAACCTCAAACGTTTGATTCACGGAACTACTTCCAAGTCGCGGCATTACAACCTAACAATCACCATTACTCATCTGCAGGTCGCGAAGACCAAATCGCTCTTCAGTTAGTGTAAGAAAAAACAAAAAATTGCATGTTACCATCATAATCTTTCAAAATGTTGGATGATATTTATCAAACTATAGGAATAAATTTGATCTTTTTAATTTCATCTATTTTGCAGGTAATATTGGCTGAAGCATGAAGGAGCAAGTACTGAATAAAAAACCAGGATTGGGTTAAGGAATATGAGGCAATATAAAGCTGATGCATTGTTATATAAATATTTATATATTTATTTCACGAATGTTGTGTTCTGTATTTTATTTTAAATTGCTTATGTTCATGTGGAATTAATATCTTAAAAAACATGTCATTTATGTGCTTAATTTATTTTAAAGACAAATGTATGTGTATAAGTGATTTATTAGCTCAAGTGTTGTACTTACAGACCCATGCCATATTAATGCTTCTTGTGATTATCTTATTAAAAAAAGGTTCCTGAATATGAAAATGATTGTTACTATTTTAAATAACTGAACTGAAGATTGTGTGATTATCATCTCCTTAAGTCATGTCAGACGTTCCTCTCGAGCCAGAAACACATCAGTTTTTTCTTCCTCTAGAACCAGTGTGGGGAGTACCATGTCAAGCTCATTTTTCCAAGCATTTTTCCTTGCCAGATTTGGAGGGAATGCAAGATCCAGCTCCATTGTTAGGAATCCCAACTAGCAGCTGTAAGGTGGCATATATGTGGACTCATAACTAACATGCTTTAGCTCATTATGACTCTTCTGTACTTTGTAGACACATAATTAATCATATGAAAGGTTTTTGTTTTTGTTTTTAAACCGCAAACGACACCAATTCTAAATCAAATCCCACATCTTAGTTAAGGTCCATCTAAGTTTAACAGCAATAACAGTTGACCAAAATTATGGTCAGCATACTATCAAACATTTATATAAACAAAAATATTATCCTGTCTATAGAGCATCAGGTGCAGATTCTCTCCTAAAAGACCACCTTCCAGTTGCATAACATGAGAATGTGAGGGCCACTTGCATAATCTTTTTGATCATGTGTTCTCTGTTCTGGGATCATGGTTGGGTTGGAACTGAGTGTAAAAAATGATGACGAGGTATGGATGTATGTGATAATTAGTGGTGGTAGATGGAAGAGACATTATGTCATGACGATGATCATGATTGATATAATTTGGTTAGTTGAAGTTTCATAAAATATTTGTTGTCGTTCATGCTTCTTGTTCTTCTACAATGATAATGTAACACAATAATCACTCTGGGACCAGACTGTGAAAGCATTTGTCCACAAAGATCCAACCTTACTGTACTAAGTAGCAACCAAAAAGCATTAACAAGGACAGATGTAGAAGAGGGTGGTAAGTAATGAGGATAAGAGTGACTTAGTTATTCATAAACTTGAAGCATGATCTGTGACGGTTCTATCACAGAACAAATCAGTTAAGCAACCAATCTGGGTTCTTCATCAAAATAAATAAACGTTTAACAAATCCAAAGAACAGAAAATGATCATACTACCTACACCAACCAATGCAAGGACTTGAGAACACTAACAAAGCAGGAGTGTCATTGCACACTGACAATTCATCTGTTTTATCAACAAAAAGGGATAACTGATATCCTTTTTACAATCTTCTTTATAAAATTCACAGTTCAGAAACTACAGTCAACACATTAAGAACTTTGGGTAATATATACAAGAGAATAAAAATCAACAATCTTCAGATGAATATCTTTTAACTCTAACCCTTTCTCCATTGAAGTAGATGTATTTGTATTCAGAGAGATACCTCCTAAGAACCAGTTCCCGTTTCTCTTCTTGGCCGAGTTCCTTGAAAGCTCGTGCTACTCTCCTCGCTGTATCTTCGTCCGGCCTCACCTTTAGCTCCTCCATGTCTGCAAACACCTGAAAGACAGAACATGATAATGAGTCTCAGAAGCAAGCTTAATGAGTATCTACATATCATTCGAGAAAAGAAGAAAAACTTTCTATACCTCTATAACCTTATCTTGAAGGTCATGGTGGGCATACAAAGCTATCATCCTAGCGAACAAGCGTCTCGGGATAGACCGTGTATGCGTGTGCAGGATCATGTTCCATAAGGACTCTGCCTCATCAGCCCTTTCTTCCATATCAAATGCCAATAAGAGTGTATCATATGTTCCCATTGTAGCGCCTTGGCCTTTGCTTAGCATCCACTTAGCCACCTGAACTTTTTTTTCCCACTAAAACAATCAAACTCATGGTACCATATCTATATCAAAACTTTAGGAAACAATGTTACATACTTGAATCACACGGTGCCATTGGCTTCTCTTCCTCAAGATTTGCAAAGCCTTAGCTGCAGCAATGATTGGAAACTCAACCTCCCAAGCTACCCATTTGTTCAAAGCTCCATAAACAGCTTCTTTTTCATTTGGGAGTCCAGAGAGCTGCAGGTTGAGAGTTATATATCAAAACATGGACTCGTTTCAGTTCCAAAGACTTCAAATAACATGTGTTTTTTTTCACACTTACCATTCGGACAAGATTAAGTGCTTTCTGACCGGAGCCAGCAGAGTCATTCTTCTTCCACAAATGATGCTCGTTCTTCCCCACTTTCTTTACTTCCTTCCTACTATAACCACACACACACACAAAAAAACTTAATCAAGATATAGAATCAGACAAGTTAAAAATACAAATATATTCACTTATGTAACGCAAACAACAAACCTCTTCACTGTGTCTCCATAACTTCCCTTCACCTTACCAGCTTGTGCTTCTGAGAACTTGAAAACAAACTCTAAGATTATGACATGTTTGTGTCTTTCAATTCACAGGAACCAAGTTTTAAAAGCTCAAGAAAAAAAAAAATATAGATAAATTACAAGACAGAACAAAAGTAGCCATTAAAGTTTACGTTTTTACCTTTGCCCTGATGCAAAAACCACACCTTTTCGCCTTTAAACAAATTGGAGATTCAAGAAATGAAAAGCTCGAAAATTTCTGCAACTGGGAGAACACACAAACATAACTAAATAGATACTGTCTGAAATTGAATTGTTCAAAGAACAGAAAATCTTGTCCTGTTAAAAACTTATGCGAGAGAAGAAGAATCAAAGGAAACTCACTGATAATCCTTGCAACGGGAATCTCCAGAGGTTTGGGTTTAAGTTGCAGACCGCCATTTACTACTGTTCCTCATACTCTTCACTTCTGGGTAAGCGATTTAGGGATTTTTTTTTGGCTAACCGAGGTTAATCGGTTTAGATAATTACTAAACCGAGTAATAAACCGAATCAATTTTGGTTAAAAATTCAGGTGGTTTAAGTGGATATATAATTGGGCCTTTAGACTAAAGATGGGTCTTATTTGGACCCAATTCAATTTTTTTTTTGTCAAACAATCTTAAGAGAGACAAACAAGTGATCCCAACCCAAGACTACCCTGCACTTCTTTGTCTCTCAAAGTTTTGGAGCTTTAAGTTGTGAAGAATGTTTTAATTAGCACGATGAGATAAAAGAACTCTAAACAAAATTAACATCAACGTTAATGTAATTATATAGGTCCTCCATACAAATTGATATTGAACTAATCAGAAAAAAAAACGAACACCTTATCTCTAAATTAATGCATGACTGTATTTCTCTAAATTAATGCATAACCGTCTGCCTGTCAGAAAAAAACATGTAAAGTAAGAATGTTGTTTATGTTTTTGTCAGATATATATTATTAAAATACATAAGTTACCATTTAAGTATGCACCAAGACTACAGTGCATGATTCGTGAAATTAGCAAAAATAATTTAATTTTTAATTTGTATGTATATATATAGGGAAGGTTCCAAAATCATGACTAATAATTGATCCTTATAAATAAGAAGACAGAGAACAAGACAGAATTTACAGAGAGTATCCAACATCTGAAATGGTCGAAGGGACCACTAGGAGAAGGAGTCACATTTGTCCAAAGATATCCGAATTTTTGGCCAAGTCCTTGTCTATAGCACGAGACTAATTCGTCCACTGCCAAATTCACTCGACTCTATATGTCTACCTTTTTTTCCATTTTTATTGTCTCTTTTCAATTTAAGATGTCTAGTAGGGACACACACAATGCACTAATTAAGTTTGATTTCACCGCATTCCCCCCAACGGTGTGTGAGCAATGATGCATTTACTGTGTTTGTTTTTGCTGTGAACACGTAAAAACTTATAGGCACTATTCATATAAAACTCCATATTACAAACGCAGCATTGATCAATAATTTGTAAGAAAATACTTCCCAAACATGTAAACTTATCTCATTCTTATCTGAGGAATTGTTTACTGACCAAAAAGATTTTCGTTTTAGGCATTATTTAAGATTACAAAAACTATTACTTAAAAGTTAGCTAGTTGATATACTTTCTACTCAATACATGATATGCTTTATGCCTTTAGTCGAAAAAAAAATACATGTATGCTTTACAACACATTTGTTTTGTTTTACACCCAAGATTATCTTATGTTAATTTATCTAATTCTTAGCTTAATAACTGAAAGCAAATCAAACTAAAGAAATATCACTTCGGTTTTTCGTTAACCTTGGCTGTGGGCTCAACCTTATATGATATCATGAATCAATCACTTTCAGTGACCTTTTTTTTTTGTTATATGTACTCCTCAATGCATGTCTTAATCGCTAATAATTGTCCATCAATTAATGAAATCTTGCTTTTGCGACAACTTGACGGATAAAATTGTTTGTCAAGAAAGTATATTTAAAATGGCATTAACAGCAAATCACTCAACCAAATTATCCATGGAAACATGAAACGTATGAAAAGTTATTTTATATCTCAAGAAACTTCCATGTTTCAAAAAAAAAAAAAATCTCAAGAAACTTCCTCGATATATATATGTTCACGTTTGATTTTGTCATAGTAAGCTAGTATCAACTATTTTACTTCACAAAATTATTAATTATCACCTTACTGATATGTTTTTTGGTAATGTTTTCTATAAGATTCACTTTATTAAGCATCAACGTCAATAGGTAATCAAGAAACAAATAATTAGATGAGAGAAAAATAAAAACAGAAGACTTTTAAAGCCACATTGATATTTTCTCCTTTTTCTTCTCCGAAAGCAACAAAATATCGGCCGTTAATTAACGCCGCCACGTAATGTTAAGGAAAACGACCGAAGTTCTGGATAAGTAAACACGTGCCACCGGCGCACACAAGACGGAAGCCTGGTGACGTTTAACTTTGGCTGACGTTAAGACATAGTTTTCGACACGTGTTGGCGCACGAGTGGGTGTTCTTCATCTATTTTGAGTTTTTATGAGCGAGTAACCGCGTAGCCACCAAACGGCGACGATTGCGTCCAGTAACGTTACACCGACTCAGCTTCGCAATCATTGGAGTTTCGTCGTAACTTGTAAAAGATAACAAAATGATTATTAGTGTTATTTATTTTCAACCATTTGTATTTTTAACCAGGAATAAACCTCACTAAATTTTCGTCAACAGATGGATTAGTAGACAACTAGACATACATACACGATATTTTATATATTTACGAAAATACATTAAAATATAGATACATCATACATGTGTAAATAGAATGTGTAAACTTTTACCTTAAAATGTAAAACTTCATCTACAATTTTGACCTATAAGTTTACCTAGATATATTATTGATTATAATTTCTCCATTCATTTCAGCATAAGATATGCTATGTACTTGTACTTAGATTTTATTTTTACCTTAGTGTTTATATAAATTTGTATATTTATAAAAATGAACATATAATATTTGGTAATTTTTATACACTGTTTTAAATAATCATGCAAATTCAAGTTGTTACTAATTACGTACGAACACCGAATTATCTCATTATATTGTAGCAAAAATGATGTGTAAGTGTATATAAATACTAGTGTAAACCCATCCTTAATGATTAATTAATATTACAATATAGAATCCCTTGACTTCACTCAAACACGTTCAAGATGGCGTCATCTGATGCAACACAAGATATTAATACTTAACACGTATATATACACACATAACTACATATGTATATATACGTGTAAAACATGAGATTCTATTAGCGAAGTCTTGGTCTATATAAGTTCCAACTTTTCTCACAGTTGTGTCTTCTTTTCCTACCTCGCCGCTCTTCAACCAAATAACCCCTAACTTTTCTTGGCAAATCTTTTTCTTTCAATGTCAGAAGAATTTCAAGAATCCGAAATTATATTTTCTGATGAAGATTTCATGAGTAACAACGTCAAGAATAGCAAAATAGAAGACACTAAGCTGAAGTCGACGGATAAAAAGTCATCTCCGGTGAGAATACCGTCGAGAACTATTTTCGTTGAGGATGAGGAGGAGGAGGAGGAGAGTATGACTCCGCCACATGTCATAATCGGAAAGAGAAGAACGGAGGCGCAAATGGCGTTTTCCTTTTGTACCCTTAAAGGAAGAGACTTAAGTCGTCACCGGAACTCCGTTCTTAGGATGACCGGTTTTTTGGAAGTTTAATTTTTCCCAAAAATAAAATGAGAACCGGTCTTGTTTAGGTTGATTTTGCTTGATTCGGTGTATTTATATATTTGTATAAATCAGCTTTGAAAATCAACCAAATGTATCACGATTTCTATCTTTTTTTTCTTCTTTAATTTGGTGAAAGAAACGTTTATTAATTAGTATGAGGAAAATTTTCCCATATTTCATCAGGTAAGAGATATTAACTTGATAATTATACTTTATGTTAAATTATTGTTTGGTTTCTTGAGAAGGGAAAAAACAATAAGAATCAAATTTTGGGTTACATCGAGTTATATATTGGGTTTGCTTGTGAAGTAAATGGTTTCTTGGCTTGTAGATTTTGTATTTGGTCCACATTCATGGGATTCTGCAACTTGTTTGCTAACATGAGCCTTATAAGCTTTGTTTGCTATTGTGAAACTCAGCCGAGGGGTATATAGAGATACCTTGGAAAGTAATGTTAAGCGAATCTAATCATCCTATAATTGATAAAATATTGGTTTAAATTAATAAAGCCAATTTGATACCTTAAACAATCAGCTTGACTTTGGGTTGGGTATATGGTTCATATATATAGGCATTAGTTTAATCAACATGGAGCATACTTATATTTATGGAATGTTACATGTCATATACACATGCCTCAAAAGTTAAGATGGAATAAAGTCATTGCCTGACACTCATACATTGGTCTTCAGGTTAATTGACAAAAAAAAATTGAAGATGAACAAAAATTGCGACAAATAATAGCAAACGTATGAAAAGATAGTTTTACAAGTCAATATCAGATAATTTATGGATTTATACTAATATTATTACTTAATCAAAAATTTTAAACCACTTTAAATTCATTTGGAACGATCTGGATCGCATAAATCAGATTTTCAGAAATCGTTTCGGCTATAACCGATTTTTCACTTAACTATTGCGTAAATCCATCGATTTTGAGTTTTAATCTTGCCATAAATTAAGTTGCTACCGTTTGGCCACACGAAAATGAAGCTATGTTTTAGGTTTCATTAAAAACTACTAGTTGGTACTGTCTCCTTAGAGCACACTTGCAATAGTGTTATCCATTAGAATCTTTAGTTTTAATTATTATTTTTTTTTCAAATAAAAAAAAGTAAATACCAACCAATCGCGTGCTTATACGTGTCGTGGACCCTGCAAATAATACAAAGATTCATTAAAAATAAAGATTAATTTTTAATTTTTTATGAGATCTATTGATTATTTAATTATTTTTTTCTTAAGGATTCTCTCTAAGAATCACCATTGTAGGTTCTCTTAGATGATTAGTTGGTGCTCGACCACTCCGCATATTAATAGAAAAGTAAATATTTCACTTTTAACAAATACTAGTATGCACTATTTGACATATGCATGGCTTAATAAAATCATAAAACTCAGAAAGCCCTTTTCCAAAAAAAGAAAAAAAACATAAACCCGATGATCACTACTATATTAAAAGGGCTTAATGCTCAAAGGAGAGACTGCCACATCCTTAAAAATAATCAGCCAATCAGAAGCATATTGTTGACACATCAGCCAGGCTTCCCGGGTGGATTTATAGTGGACTTCTACTTTTGGGTTTGAAATAATTTGTTCTCAGCCCAAATGGAACCTAAAAAAAAAATCAACCCACAAGGATGAAACGATCACCTTCCCCTCTACCACTTCGTCTTCTCCGATCGAAGACCATAGTAACTGAGTTCTAATCTAGCCAGTTCTAAACAATCAATAATGTACTTTACTTCCATTAATCAGTACCTTCTTAATGATTTCGTCTGGCCTCCCTCTTTTCCTCCTTCTTTATATACTGATCCAAAAACCAAAAACCATTAAAATAGTCTTTTAAAATCAAAGCCCTAGAACTGCTCTAAGCTCAAACCATGGCGATGAAACAAAATGGAAACTCCCCTGTCTCCTCCTCCTATGATGAAAAAGTAATGTTATCTCACTAGGTCCCCATGAAAATCAGTTGCGCTTCCATCTTATTCATTTCTGGAGGCTTGGGACCCAGTAAAGAAGACGCTTATTGGCCTAGAAATGCTCTTCATCAACGAACAGGTACATGAAATCTCCAAAATTTGGTCCAAACTTATTTAATTTATAAGATTGTAGTCTTATTTATTTTTCTTACGTCTTATGTTATTCTTAACATTGACAACTTATTTACTTTTCATTCGTCTTATTCGGCTTAATCCAACAGAAAGGCTCCAATGTCTCAGTTCTTCAACGATGTTTCCGCTCGCTTAGCAGATCAACTTTCACATGCTGTTACTTTCTCTTGCAACAGTTGGAGAAATTTAAGGCGGTGTTTTTGAGGAAATATTAAAATAGCTGTATTGATCTACTGCTAGCTTAAAGTATGTACTCTTTAAACACTACTTTGATTTCATTTTACTTTCCCTATTTTTTTGACGAGGAAAATATTGATTGGCAGTTCCCCGAGAGTTTGATTTTATGAAACAGAGATAATTTAGCTTATCAATGTGTCAAAAATCTTTTACTTTTTGATTGTTATTGTGGGTAGAGCATGTCTGAACTGGTTTAGATTGAAGTTTTATGTGTGCTGCTCCCTTTGCTATGTTCTTTCAGCTTATTCTTTTTATCAAATTCAGAAGTTTTCCTCCATTGTTTGAGAATGCACTCAGGAGCTGACCCTTGCAAGTAAGTTTCTATTATTGGCTCTGTTAATATATTTTGTGATATCAAGTTAATATTTTTTTTTTCTTTGCCTATCAATTACATGTAATTTTTTTCTTCTCTTCAAGACATGGGATTACATACTTAATTTTGGTCTACCTCGCTGAAGCTCACAAGAATAGAATTGTATCAGGTTTTTATCTCCTTTGGTATCCTAAAAACTGAGGATCAAGATGCTCCTCAGAGATATCTTCCTTTTGACATTGGCAAAGGTGTATTCCGAAAGGGGTATAATTTTTGTTAAACGTAAACAATGTGGAGAGAAGCCTCAGGGGAGTTTACTGCAAGGAAGTGGATCGATTATATGAGCGTTTCGGATCTGAAACTGGGGGCAGCGTAATTAGCTTCTTTGAAGAACATAGCATATGATTCAGTTACTCAGAAATTATCAGTTGCATAAGGCTTTCCATCCTTTTAGAACGAAGGTAGTGAAATAATCTCAAAGTTTATAATATTTGATATGTTCCGTTTGGGACTAATTCATTGAACGTTTTAATATATAAGGTGGCTGTGGAAGAAGGTATTGTTTCCTGAGGTGGACGCACTCAGCTAAGACTTTCATTGAAAGTGGATGCCATTAAACAGACTCTACCAAAATGAATAAAAGGTTAGTCAATAAAAGTGAAAAATAGTTTTTTTCTTAAGGTTGTGAGATGTCACTTAGAGCACGCCAGACATAGCTAAAGCATCCTTGATGTCCAAGTATTGTTTGTGTTGTGTGAATCAACACTCAAAAGCAAGCAAATCTTTGAATATGAACATGTTTTTTTTTTGAGAACTGAATATGATCATGTTACTAACGCCTTATTCTTTTTTTTTTAAGTTCTTACAACACGTGATAGTGGACAAAAAGATTTACATGATTTTCAATGTGGAATGATAAACAGATTTTAGTGATACAGCAATTGGGGCACAAAAAAAGAAAGCAATTTGTGATGCGGTAAGTATATTTGTGTTTATTTTTTAGAAGACGTCTTAAAGTGGACTTTAATCAAATATGACAAGAGAAAATAGAAAGTGATCTGCCAAGAGAAAATAGAAAGTGATCTACCAAGAGAGTTAAGGTTGTACGTTCAGTTTAGTGATTCATTAAATTGATTCCAAGGATCCCGTCAAAGCTTTACAGGAAGATGAACCATGGCCTGCTCTCAACACCCATATCCAAGATATTCAACTCATGCTCTTGAAGATTGGCGATCACAAGGTAGTCTTTCAAGCCAAAGAATAAAATAGAGTGGCGGACAGAATTGCCAAGGAAGATCTCTTTTGGGAATAATGCCCCTATATTGTATTATGTTGCCAAGTTGGTTAAATGTCTTTAGTGGAGGGTGATAGTGTGTAAATCGATTTGGTCAATGAAAGGTTGAGCCAAATAAAAGAAAGAGATTAAGATATTAAGATGGAAATAGGGATTAGTGTAAATTTTGACTTTTGATGATAGTTATGCCAAGTTGAAATTTTTTTTTGTGTTTTGGCGTATTCTTTGCATATTTTTTTTTTCTAAGTAAGCAAAATTGCACATATGACAAACTTACATTAATTGAACAATTTAGTAAGCAAATAATCTTGCAAATTCAGTAATTTAATTATCTATATACTGATACGATATCGTGATGTTACATAGTTTTACAAAGTGGTGATATGTGAAAGAAATGAAACCTTTGGCAAAATAAATATTTTTTCCGGCATATTATAAATCAATGCATTTTAAAGTTGTTTTTAAAAGTGACTTAAATTGCTGACTGTAGAGAAGGCTTACATACAAAAAAGAGCAAAATATACAGAAATAAGTTTTCAGGTTGACCAAGTCATCTAAAAATATATTAATTTCATGATCATAATTAAGTATGAACAACATAAATATTCCACACCAAAAGCAATACTTTTATAAGCAAAAGGCAAAAACATGACATTAAATTATCATTCAAACTTCTTTCCTTCCCGTAAGATTTTTTCTAAGCAAAGAAAACGTAAAAGCGTTGACAGCAGGAACGAAAAGTATATGCACGGCAAAAAGAAATCTGTTTTGACGGAAAATACAATTTTTTGTATTTGGCATAAGACATAATATTTCGGTTTTCATAAAAAAATCCGGTTTTAGTAGATTTTAGCAAAAAAATCTGATTTTGCGGTTTTGATGGAAAAAAATCGATTTTTCTGTTTTAGTGGATTTTTTTTTAAAATTTTACTGTTTTAGTGAGAAAAAATGATTTTTGCAATTTTGGCTGAAAAAACTAATTTTTTTTGTGAGAAAATCTGATTTTGCGGTTGTAATAAGAAAATCTGATTTTGTGATCTTAACGGAAAAAACCTGATTTGCAGTTTTTTTTTTTGGGTTTTCAGGAAAAGTTGATTTTGCAGTTTCGGTAATAAGCGGAGTGAGTTGTAAATTGCTACAATTAACGCATTTTGACTTTATGTTTGTAAGAAACTTAAACCTATTTTTCCATAAACATTCTTTAAATAATTTTATAATTTAAAATAATATTATTTAATCCAAATAGTTATACATTAAAAATAATATTAAAACGTAAAATTATATGTCATTTTAAATTTATCTAGATGAATTTAAATGAGTTATTGTAATATTTGTAGGTATAAATGGAAAAATCTAATAGACCTATTTTAAAATGAATCTAACAGTATGAATTTTTAATTGGGAAAGTTTAAGTGGGGTGGGTTTTCATATTTTAACATCCCTTTTTTTTTAACACCATATTTTAACATCTCTAGGTATGGATGTAAGGAACAATACCATTGAATTATTTTGGTTTGGAATTTAGAAATTTGGTGGCTTCTATAAATCCAACACCTATGTATGCATGTAAAGTTATTAAAGGTTTCAGAAATTAGTAAATTAATAAAATTTAGCAATTAATAATGTGATTTATTATATATATTTCATGTTGAGGTACAAACTATAAAAAAACTAAATTTATTAAAATATATAGAAAATAACCCGGGCGTAGCCCGGGAATAGCTCTAGTTTTTATTAATAGTCTATCAATCATGATCTATATAATTAAACACTCTATCTCTATACATATTCGGGTATTAACTCAACTAATTAAATGCTATTGATCAGCCGAAACCACCGGCGTGGACCGATTCCGCTTCCGTCTCTTCCTTCCTCTATGCACTTTAGTATGACTACCACCAAACTTTAACCGTCCGGTATCCCTAAACCGGTCCTTCTCAGCCGTCACAATCACACACTCAGGTGGTGGCACGGCATATCTCACGGTATCATAACAATACGAATAATACATATAACGTTCCCTGAACCGCCTCATCGCGGCTCCTTGTTTAGGACTAATGGTTGAGTAATCGCTAGTCATGAGATCTTGGTCGGAGGCAGAACAGTTGATGTAGTTATAACCGACAGTGCTGTTGTTGTTTGGGAATGAGTCGGAGACATTACAACCGTCGAGAGCAATGTCTTTGAACTCGGAGACGAATGGTGAAAATGCATAGTCGACACCGAATTTACCGCCGGAAGTAGCCCAGCTTGAGGCGTCCCAAATGGTTGCGTAGAGAGACATTGGTTTTTGTGGATAGTCTCCTTTCATTTCTTCTTTTCTTATGATTTCTCTTATTGGCACATCGTCTACCCAAAATCTGCATGTGATAAACTAACCAACATTATGATATTGAATGTTATGTTACATATTTTCTTGCCTAACTAGATTTGAAATGTGTTACATTAGTAGTATACCCTCATGCGTGTAGATGAGACTGAACTTGCCGTGTCCTTTTTGCATTTTCTAAAATGCATACTACACAACAACCACTTATTTTATATTCAACATATATACATCTCATGCACACTATCAAAGCAATTCAAAACCACATGCACCTATATCTAGATCACCTAACTAAGAATTTTTATTTTAATCTCTCCAAGTCTTGAAATTCTGATAGTTTAACAACTTTATAAACCAATGATCAGATGCGTAGATGTTGACCTAGAGAAAGGATTGTGAGAAAAAGGGAACTAACATTATTTTTGTAGGGTTCCATAGGATGCTATAACGGTGAAACTCCTTGGAAGGATCAAACCAAAGACGGTAGCGTTCTTCGCGGCCACGGTTTGTGCTACCGTTTCCGTACATATTCGTCTGAAACCGCCACGGTTTCCCTTCAACGTTCCCTAAAAACTCTATGTCTAATTCGTCATGATTCTTCACAAACACATCGCCGTTTGATGTCTGTATTTTATGTCATTCGCATTCTCAATCACTTTTTAAAAGTTCGATAATGAAATTGTATAAAGAATAAGTGACTTACGTAGAAAGCGACTACAAGACCAGCCGTGTAGGCTCCTGGCAATTTTATCAACGAACTAAAAAATCCATGTTGATACATGCTTGAAGATATGAATCCTGACCCTATCGGATTCATTTTGAAAACAATTTCGTATTAAATCTTTATAATGAAAACTCAACGACTTTGATTAGTGACATTTACAAGATAATTAAATCGTCGAAAATGAACTAATTAAATTTAATGAAGTTGAAAAAGAATCTTAACGATGTTGAAAACGTGGGAATACTGAAATCTCATCCACTACATCATTTACATTTACATATTGATTGAACACAGATCAAGATTTTGCAAAAGTTCATGTTGGGTAAAAGATGGTGTAATCGTATAAAAATGTTACAACCAGAATGGATAAATCAAGATTTTCTTGTAAATTTCATATTTGGGAAAAGATGGTATAATCGCGTAATTATGTTATCACCATCATTGAATCACCATTTCTATCCTTATCATGTTCATGCAACTCACAAAAAAAAAATACAAATTATCATCATCATCAAAAACCTAAAATTCGAGTCTCGTAACGTGAAATTAATTATATTTTCTTCATAAATCTTCATACTATACTATTTATATCAGAACTCGAAAAAGAAAATTACCAGTATATTTGTCGAGGAGTAATCGAACGCTGCGATCATCAGGAGATCGGATGAGATTAGCTTCACCAAATAAATGAGAAAGACCTTCATCGAAGAATATAGGATTTATGTTATCCAATCCCAAAACACCTCTCCATGATGCAAACATCATCACCATGATCATCACCTTTAATCGATAACCACTCCATAAAAGGTATACTGAATCTCTCATATTCTTTTTTTTTTTTTTTTTTTTGCTTTGCAAATTCGAAACAAAGAGAAAGTTGGTTTGGTTTCTCTTTCTTTGTATGGTCTAAGATGTTTGTGTTTGTGGTTTTGTTTTCTTAAGATGCGTCAAAGTGGGAAAGAGAAGACCATGGAATTGTCTAAGTTTTGCTTCTATCATTTTGTGAGAATTGTTTAAAAAGACTATTCTTTGCCTTACTTATCTACCGAATTGCCATCCTTCTTTTTTACAGTAGAGAATTTTGAAAGTGCAACATGAAATAGGAAAGATAAACACACATAATTTCTCAACAAAGAAGTATATCGTTACTAGATATGTTCCAAATAAAGTAATAAGTCTTAATTAACCAAGAAAATACTAGCCACACACGTTTTTATGATCTAATACATATCCAAGACACACTCTTCTATATCAATTTATGATTCACTTACCATATAAATTATGATACACCCTTTGCTAAGAATACTTTCCTATTTTGTGTTGGTTCAATATAAAGTTCCTCAACTAGTTATAAAAAGCAGATTTCGTATCTGTTTGTAATATTTATCTTTCCTTTTTTTTTTTTTTTTTTAAAAAGGGCTATCTATCTTTACTTTTCTAAGCTTAGATAGTCCAGTTTCATGAGCCATACTTGTAATACCTATAGTAGTACTTCGCCAACTAAGGTAACGATGGTTCGACTGTGGCTGTAAAAATTTATCTATAAAAATTTAGCTGTAAGTAAGTTGGTTGTAGCTGTAAACTTGTTACTGTATATTTTATTGCAGAAACTTTTGCTGTAGTTAAATTTGTAAAGTATATACTGTAGATATTTTAAAATAATATATACTTATAGAAAATAGTTATTTTTATCAACTATAATAATTTGTCTTAATGATTTCTATAAATTATCAAAGTTTATTGTTATTTAAAGTGTGATATGTAAATGATATTTTATGTTATTTAAAATATTTGAATAATTTTGAAAACACCTAGAACTACATTAAAAAATTGATAGGTATTTTTATTATTCTTATCTAATTAATTTGATATTATAGATTTTTTTTTTTCATTTTACAGTTTCTACAGCCTGTTTTGGCTAAAGTACATAAAAATAAATTTTGATTTAACTTTTTTATGCTATAGTTTTAAAAAATAAAGCTAAAGCAAATTTGATACAAGAAAGGTGATTTGTTGGGATGTAGCTGTAAAAATTTTACGGTAGACTTTTGTCTGTAGAAATTTTTGATTTAGCTGTAGCAAATGTAGCTGTAGAATTAAATACAATAATGGAAAGATATTCCTACAGCAATATTTTTTCTCTACAGCGTGTAAAATAATGCTTTAGAAAATAAGGGTGCTACAACTATTTTTAAAAATTTTTAACTTTAGATTTAAAAAACTAGAATAAAATATAATTGGAAAGTTTTATGGTTGTATATGAAAACTAAAGCTAAAGTCATTAGTTACATCTCAACCAATTATCCCCAAGTTAATAGAATTTTGTTGTAGATTTTGACTAATAAAAATAAAACTACAACATGATTGATTCAGTAGTGTTTTAAAAATAAATAAAGCTAAAGTTCGGAGATAAAGTCCAACCAATCACTCTCATTATATCTTCTAATTAGGAAAGGCCACATAGGTTGTATAAAAATTCTAATAAAAGTTCATGTTCAAATTTTATTGAAGACATTTTATATTTGCAAAATTGTTATCAAGGATGTTAAAACCAATGGTGTAGAAATAGATGAATAAAACCACAAGAAAATAAACGGTACACTTCGTCAATTGGCTAAATTTTCTGGATCATCTAGTAGGTATCCAAGGAGTTGTATATTTGATTTCCGTTGTGTGAATCTGCCCTTATAAGAATTGTTTAATTTAGCATGGTTTAAACTTCACCCTAAAGCTCTGTCGTTTTTTTTGTGCGGCCATCTCTGTCTTTTTGTTTAAACAGAAAACCTCTTCAACCCGAGTTCTTAGATCATGGAGGGTTATGCATTCTTGTATTTGGGGAATTTAGAGATTGGTTCATCATGTCTTTTACGTATAGTAGTTATATCTCACGTTAAAAGTTCATTTCAAAGCAGCAGAAGAATAAATCAGAATCCTTCAAAATTTCTAACAGAAGTGACCATGAAGTAATAAAATGCGATTTATTCCACAAAACTCCAAAGTTGTGATTACAGAATGTAAGTTTGTTTTCAAGATGTTTATCCATTCCCCCCTTTTCTCCCCTTTCTGACCAAAAAATAAGCATCAAACAGAGAACTTGACACCTTCATCATCTGCTGATGTTCCTTTGAACAATGCAAGCTTGCCTTTGTTCTCTAGCAGCTTCAGGGCCCTCATTAGAATCGTCCGATCAATCCCTTCGAGTTCTGAAAAAAAAACATTCAAATAGAACAATTGCATTCACATGATATGACACAAACTTAAAATCATATTCAGAGTTTAAAGGTTTTCTATTCTACCTGTTCCAAGTGATTCAGTCCCTGAACGTATTTCTTCAACAGTCATAACACTGTCCTCTAATCCATTCTCTCTCACCTTATGGATAGAATGCATGACATCAGTTTGAGAAGAGAGCAAGAAACCAAGAAAAAAAAAGTCAGACAAGAGACTCACAAACTTAAGAATGATGTCTGCCCAATCTTGAATCCGGTGCCAGAGAATCAGACATTTCCTATGCCCCTTATCTAGCCACTCCGCACGCCCTGTCAACGGATAAACAATGTGTAAACATCAAAACGAAACCATGAGCTTAATGAATCTCACTCTACACAAGAATCTAACCTTCTCCAACAATAGCTGAGAGGAATGTTTCCCTTGCTTCATGACTCAAAGTTCCTACAAACCAAACGACACTTAACGCTTTAAAGACCTTTAAAACATAGAAAGAGACGCATGATTAACGGTGGCAGCCTAACAAAGAATGAACAAATCTTAATAGTTCCTTACTAAGATGTTTAACTGAAACATTCTGCAGCCTATACAACGAGCAAAGAAAACTAACACTTAATCGAATGTAACCAAGTGGAAAAGATGCAGTAACTGGAACATACGATCAATAGCAGAGTTGGAGAAGAGAGGGAAATCTTCTTCAACGCCGATTAAGAAAACCTTTTGGGATTTGCAATAGTCCAAGATAAGCTCTTTCCACAACTGTATTTGCTTCTCACGAGTGTCCCTCACTGGCTGCAAACTGTTTTAAAATAAACAGACTTTTGATTATCAATCCATAATCTTCCAGGGAGGAAAAAAAGAAAGAAACTTTGAATAAGAAGAAGAGAGAGTGATTGATATATACGTGAAGTATGGAGGATAATTGAAGAATTGAGGAAGCTTGAAATCACCCAGTTTATGCATCTTTAACCCTCAAAAATCTATATCACAAAATCAACAACCATGGAAGCTTAGAAACAAAACAGAGTCAATAAAAGGATCAATCTATGAACAAGAGCAAGAGAATCTGGTGCCGTGAGAACTTTGATCAGATAGCGAACAAAAGGAACCGACTTTTCAACAAGTCATTAATCGAATTCTCAAATCAAATAATCAAAAACAAGATTTATCTAAAAACCCAAACCAGATTTGGAAGCCGACAGAACACACAGACAAAAGCGATTGAACGCTAGCTCTTTTTTTTTCTTTTGGTTCGAAAACGGATTTTGACTTGTTCGTGTGTGTGATGTCGGGTCGGATTTAAACACGATTACCAATATAATTGCACAAGTGTTAATTAACTAGAATAACCGTTTGGGGTGGCTTAATGATTTTTTTTTTTTAGCAAAAGATGGGGTTAATGATTAAAATCAGAGTTTAGGGGTGGAAGAAGCATCAAGCAGATGATTAAGTTCATATAAATTTTTTTTTTTTTTTTTTTTTTTAATAGTGGTTCCTANATATAAATTTTTTTTTTTTTTTTTTTTTGTAATAGTGGTTCCTAATTTTATTGTCTGAATCGAATCCTATCTAACTGATCCAAATCAAATTAAACACCTTTATCTAAACAATATAACTGATAAATGTGTTAGCTCTCTAAAAAGGACTTTTGTATAAATGTAAGCCAACTTACAATTCTGTGGCTTACAAAGAACTCTGTTTACAACAACTCTATAGCTTATTCATGAAGAATCAGATACTACAACACACACATCTTTATGCTTGTTCTCTTTTAAAGTTACAAAACCAATAAAGAATCGAATTGAATGCTACAAAACTACGAGAGCTCTCTGTGTGTATTATTATTACCCAAAAAAGAAGAAGGAAGAATTAAAGTCTTGAAGAAACAGAGCTTGTGAGAATTCTCTTTAGTTCCTTTCTCAATATCTTCCCAGTTGGAGATTTTGGTATTGAGCTAACCATCACAACTTTCCTCACCTTCCTGTACGGTGCAACCTACCACACACACAACACAAAACATTACATCAGTTCATCTCCAAATTTAGAAAACATGTTCTTTTCTTTTTTCCAATCTGGCAAAAGCCTTTACTGAATTAGTAAAGACCCTAACCTGAGCAGCTACATAGCTTATTACATCTTGTTCTGAAAGGGTTGTTTCTTGTCTCCGCACAACGAATGCTACCGGAATCTCTCCACACTCTTCACTTGGGGCACTGTATGTCACAACATTATTCAAAAATTTGAATACTTTTGAGTTAGAATAACACACTGTGCGGCTCATTGTCCAGTTTCTTCAACTTATTTAACACATTATATTAAAGTCTTTAAACATGGAACAAGGTTTGTCAAAAAAATTTGTGAGACTTACGCTGTTACTGCAGCATCGATAATCAAAGGATGTGAAACAAGAACAGCCTCCAAATCAGCTGGTGCGATCTGCTCATAATTGGAAAGACTTAAATATTCCTTCATTTATAGTAACTCACTGTAATCTAATGAAAGATAGAAGATTGGTTTTGGGGTTTACTCAGAAATACTGCTTTACCTGAAAACCTTTGTACTTTATAATCTCCTTTATACGGTCAACAATAAACAAGTAGCCATCTTCATCAAAATAAGCAATGTCCCCAGTCCGTAGCCAACTTTTTTCAATAATTGTCATCTCAGTTGCTTCCGGGTTATTCAAGTATCCTGACACATAAATTAATCAAAGCTGTTTATGCAACACAAGCAAAAACAAGACAATAAGCCTAATATTCTAACACAATCATCAAATATTCTACACGATAGTTGGAAGATCCCATCTATATTTATCATTAGGATGCAAGAGCTCCTCTATGATGTAAATCGTTGACACAAGACCTATGTATGCTCTTAACTATTTTGGCAAGAAAAAAAGTAGTATAATAGGAAGAATATATCTTATTCTTACCTTTCATGACTCCGGGGCCTTGTATCCAGAGCTCTCCACGGTTTCCTGGTGGAAGGAAACAACCAGAGCTCCAATCTACAACCTTGGCTTGCATATTTGGAGCAAGTAGTCCCACCGAAGAATACTTCCTAAGCCTTTGAGAGTTAAACCCTCGTGTACCAACTGCTGTTGATTCAGTCATTCCATATCCCTGCCAAAAACAGTAATCCCACTTTCAGCTAAACAGAACACTCCTCATTTAACAAAACCCCCAACAATAAAAACTCAAAGAGAACCTGAATCAAATCAACATGAGGAAGAGTCTCCAAAAAATCCTCAATAAACTTCCCACTCAAAGGAGCAGCTCCAGAAGAAACCTGCTTCAAACTCCTAAACACATCCCCACAAACCCCTTTCGCCTTCTTCGTCAACGCCATCAACATCGGAGGAACAACAGGGAAATGCGTAATCCCAAACCTCTCGATCACATCAACAGCATCAGAAACATCAAACCTCCTCATAACAACAACGGTTGATCCAAGAGACAGTAACCCCATAACAAATAGAGACAAACCATAGATATGACACAAAGGCAACGCCGCTAGATAAACATTCCCCGTCCCTGGATACTCATACTGCGAAGCTTCGAATCTCACAAAAAGCTCCATCGACGCAATCAGGTTCCCGTGAGTTAACATAACTCCTTTACTAGCACCCGTAGTCCCAGAGGAATACATAATCGCTGCTACATCCTCTTGCTTAACCTTAACCAACGGTCTCGCCACAACTCCGAAACCTCCTTTGATGATTGAGTAAAACTTTGGATTTTCGATACGAATCAAATCAAGATCGTAACTTTCGGGCACCCTTATGACCACAACACCTAAAGAACCCAACTTTTCGTAACTTTCGCCACAAGTAAACGCTAACGAGACCTTACACTCACTAACCTGCTTCGTGATCTCTCCCAAGCTACTCGAAGGGTTGATTGTTGTGACAACAACGCCTAGGGAGATCAACGAGAGGAAAAGGAGAGGGAAGTAGAGGGAGTTAGGGAGGACGAGGGAAACGACGTCGCCTTGTCGGATACCTAGATCGTGGTGAATCCCTGCGGAGATTGATTCGATCAGGGTCTGGAGCTCGGTGTAGGAGATTGAGAATCCGGTTGAGGAGTCGATGAAGGCGGGGGAGGAAGGGTTTTGGATGTTGTGGATGTGGGAGAAGAGGGCGGAGACGGCGGAGAGATTTGGGTCGAGGGGGAGGTGGATTGAGGGGTGTTTGCTGGTGTAGATTCCGGTGGTGGGAGAGAACCAGGGAGGAGGAGGGGTTTGGGGAGACGGTGTTGGGGTTATGTGAAGATGAGAGGCCGCCGCCATTAGAGAGAGAGAGTATTGAGACGGCAGAGAAAGGGAGAGAGAGAGAGGAGAAGTCCGGTGGAAAATGGATGTACCGCGCCGCTATTTATTAAAATCTGCTTAAATTGAGTTTTTTTAGTTACATAAACATAACAACCTACAAAACTAAGTACTGTATATAATTATTACAAATGGTTGGCTATAATGTTCTGTGTATATTTTATTATATATTAAAACAGAAGTTATGACTTGACTTCATATATGATTTTTTTTTATAATGAACTATTACTACAAAATCAGGTTACATTAACTCTCTAATAATCTTATCATTATTATATCTTATAAAAAATCATATCTTATATATTAAAACAGAAGTCATGACTTAACTTCATACTAGGATAAGACCCGCGCCTTACGCGGGATGAAATTATTATTTTTATTATGTTTTGGAAAATGAAACAAAAGTTTGGTTTCATCTAGATTAAGAATGTCCAATCTGGATATCGGGTTTCCGTATTTTGGTTATTAAAATATAACTACTATTCTAAATCCATATTTACTTCAGTTTGATTTGGTTTATATATTGGTTTTCAGTTTATTCAATTTTATACCAAAATACATCATTATTTAGTTTGAAATCATATTACATATTATAAAATAAATAATATGATCATATTTAGAGTCATATTGT